AAAGAGGTGTTGAAGGAGCCGAGTGAATGCCGTGATCTCTACATGTTGCAAGTACAACGATGCAACTTCATTCGCAATTGCTGCGATGAATATATGAGGTTCGGATGCAAACCATTCACAGTGTGACTCGGAATAACCCTGAAAAGACAGTAAATTTTGATTACTCTTATGAAGCAGTTTCATGAAAAACACCACCTAGCTTTGAAAGATGTGGAAAACCTACAGAAATCCGTCGTACATTAGCTCTCAAATAACTTTTCCCTATCTGATCGAATAGTTTCCATCGTTTGGGTTGTTTCGGTTCATTCGGGTGGTGTCCATCTATTAGACTGATTCGTGAACAACTACAAAAATATTCTCATTCATTTAATTTCAACAAGATATAAGTTGCCCTACCTTAGATGTGCGTCAAATGCGACAATAAATTCGGTGATTTATCAAGAATTGTATGCGAAAGGTCGTTCGTTAAGTGCCGAAACAAGAAGGTGTTTGGAAGCGCAAAACAAAAAATACGATGGTGGATCAGATGTTCGCCGGCATTTTATTTGTTCAAAAATTCAATTTACTAATTTAAGATCCATGCTGCATTCTTCTTAAAATCCATACTTCCTTCCAACTTTCGTTACCAAATCGCATAAAGTGAACAAATCGAAGGTGTATTTTGTTTTGGATGTGATTTTTTGTGAGTGTAGAAATTCCGGAATTGATAAATTCGACATCCATAAACATCCATATTTCTGATTTTGAACCACTGGAAATTCTTTCCTTCGATTTCTGCAGATCAGTGAGCAGCCATATTTTGATGATATGACAAGTGAGTCGAAATCGCAGCTGTCAACTGAGGAACAACGTAGAAAACTGGAAGCGGTTTTGAAATTTTTAAACTCACGAACACAAGCGCAAACATCCGAAAGCATCACTACGGTAACCACTACGCCGACAGCTGCATTAACCACCACATCCGTTACAACTACAGGTTTGCGGTTCACCGTCACTCAGGGCAATCGTTTTCACAAATCTTTCACAAAACCACAATACATTCATTGCTGCATTGTTAGCCCAGCAATGTCTGATTCTGAGATAAAAGCACACGTAATGGGATAATGTAATTATCAAAAGCACATGTAATTATCATTCTCTCGTTTGATAAAAACTCTGTGAGGGCAAGAAGATTGAATTAGATCGGTTGTTTGCCCGGAAACAAAAATGGCTTGCTATCGGAAAATGAAGATTAGATCAATTTCAGCAGCACCAACAACGAACAAGCATGTGACCTGGAGCTATCCCACCTTCCCTACATTGCTGCCACCATTGCCAAATTATTTTGCGGTTAGTTTTCACTTTCATACTTTTTGCTTGAAAGTTTGAACTCATCATTAATCTAGTATGAAAACGCTCTGGCGAAAGGACTCAGATTGCTTTTATCTGATAATTTTTCAATCCGATCCAATGAATTTTACCCGCTATCTTCTTCTATTGAAATGAACTAATTTCAAGATCTTGTTTCCACCGCTGCAAACACCTTCAACGCCGGCAACAACTCCGCAATCCACTACGAAATCCTCAAGCACTCCGGAAGTTGAATTCCATGATGACCATACAGCGGACATTTCTCCAGTGTTGAGTAGTGTCCATCCGAATCAGGTCTTTAAGCTTGTTCAAAGTTATCCTCCTAATAAAAAATGCAATGACTTATTTTATTAACAATTACACAGCTCGTAGTTCGAATCGAAAGTTTTTATGTGATTAATCAAAAGTGGATGTATCTGTATAAAATGGATTTCAGTGCAACATGTGTATTTCCTGGATATTCACCCATGAAACTAGTGCCGAAACCAGAAATGAAGCGAAAATTTTAACTTGCTTATGAAATCCAATAACATTTGTTTGTTTTAGAGCGATTGGGCGTCGTTTTGCAACGAATCATTGAGTTGTGAGCATGAACTACTGAAACTTGAAACAGAATGCTTTCTGAAACGATCAGTTAGCTTCGATCAAGAAGGTTGAATAGTTGCAAGTCTCGTTTACCACTTAAACCGATTTCATGGCATCACCAATTCCTTAATGTTTCTGATAACCAAGTAAACACAAATGATTTTTCAGCATCTTTAAGAATTCCACCTTAAAAAAGCATTTTCACGTTTACAGTCAACAGATTCATATTTGCATGTACTTTTCTGTCAGCACCGTAAGAAACATAATATTTTAATCAAGTTAAATCCTTTCTTTACAGAAATGTTAGATGCGTTAATCACAATAAAAATAATCGAAAATACATTGGATACGGAATCAACACAACGTGCGAGAAGAACATGTCAGAATACAATCAGATCTGAAGAGTTGAATCAGGTGAGCAGCAAAATGATGAGGACTGAACAACCGGCTGAATTCACTGCCATTGATTGGATCATGAACCACTCAATAATTTACAACTTTATGAATCAGTTGGGTTCACAAAATCGCTTAATTTAATACTCGAATGAATTCGATGAAAAGTTCAAAAATACTCATTGTTGAATAATTGAAAATTTCAGTTGAAAAAATCATTCAAAGCACTAGAAACGAAACGTGTGGAGTGCATTCAACGGCGTATTTTGCTGCAGTCAGATTCAATTCCACCCAATGATATCAATGAGACAGGAATCAAGGTCTTGTGAAATTTTTCGGACGAATGAAATGCAATCATAGCTATTTTATTGGAACTCTATTTTCCTCATGTGCGAATCTTTAGATGGATCATTGCGAGAGTAATATTCTCACTGAATCGTTAAGTGAAAGCCTCGATTCGAATTCAACGTACTCTCAACGACAACAACGGAATTCACAAGATTCATGGGCTGAAATGTTATTCGATATGAGGAGGTGTGATCGAGAGATCAGAACGCTCAAAAGTCGATATGAACGCTTAAGACGGTGTTGTCCTCCTATCCAAACGTGAGGATTCCACACATATGTTAATCATAGAATCAGTTTTTTTCTGTTACAAACTTATCGTTCCGTTTTCTCAATTATTAGAAATCAAGAACTCGCAATCTACGAAAATACTGTCAGATTCAATTCGGTTACGTTTGGAGGTGGTTATATTTTGAAAAAATAATCGAAGAAGTATTGGGTTATGGATATCAAATCAACTGAATCAGTCGTAATCGTTTTCCTTGTCCTGAAGTAATCTTATTATCCTGAAGTTTTCGGCAACAGAATTTGATATCTTCGTCAAATGATCCGTTTTGTATTTGTTTCAGTTGCGATGAGTTGCTGGAGGATTCCGAGCAATCTCGCGATCACAAATTTCGAATGCATCAACTGTTAGTGAATCAACGAGAATGTGAACGAAAAATGTTAGCTGCAATCGACTCGACATCAACCGAATCAAATCCCATCACTTAAACCTCCCCAATTTCCATCGGATAAGGATTTCGTAGCTGATCTTTCCTTATACACTGAACAATTTATTACATCACTGTGTACTTTTACAAGACAATTGATTGTGTATCTTTGTAAAACAGCATCATATTTTAACTTCATAAAGGTGTTCGTTCAATCTCCAGTTGATCTACGTTTTGATCACTGCATTCTCAGCAAATGATGCATCCAGTGAACAGTTCTTCTTGTTTAAAGAAATGATCATGAGGATGAATAAAGATATGCATGTATCGAATCATGATTTCCTTTATCCGGCCAATTCTATTCCCCGAGTATTCCATACTGGCATCGTGCAAACAATTCCATCGGAATTTGTAAACATCAAGTTCGATAAGGCTTTAAATCATTGAACCACTAATTGAATGAAGTTGTATTCACATCGAAGACATTCATTTTCACATACGTCTTATTTGAATGCT